GCCTCAAGTCCGTGGACTACGAAACGCGTCTCGTGACGCTTGATCTCTTTCCCCTGGAGTGCCGTCGCCTCCGAGGGGACCTAATTCTTACCTACGCCCTGTTTGAACAAAGCTTGGCAAACAGGTTTTTTACCGTTTACCCAGCAAACACCCGGCGGGGACATAGTAAGAAAATCTTCAAGCTCAGGGCACACACATCCGTTAGACAAAACTTTTTTTCATTTCGGGTAGTAGCTGCGTGGAATGACCTTCCTCCGACGGTTGTGCACGCTCCTTCTCGAACCCAATTTAAAGCACTATTAGACATTTGTTTATGCGAATTTTCGCGCTGGCGAGGATACTGCCCCGCGCTGAGAACATAAAGAGCAGTGCTACACCCTTTTTTCACTTGTGCCTTTCAGGTGAACGACAGCCACTGACCGACAAGAACAAAACCGACCCGGGAAACTTGGGCAAAAGCCTCGATCCTGTGTATCAATCCGTGAATCCGTGAATCCGTGAATGATGTAATTAGAAATCCTCTAGCGATAGGTTTTTAAAAGAATTCTTTAAACCAAGCGCTGTAATTGATTTGGACGGTAAAATGAAGATGTTTCTTCCGCAATCCGTGAATCCGTGAATCCGTGAATGATGTGAGTAGAAATCCTCTAGCGATGGGTTTTTAAAAGAATTCTTTAAACCAAGCGCTGTAATTGATTTGGACGGTAAAATGAAGATTGTTTCTTCCGTTTAAAAAGTTGACAAGTAAAAATCCAATTGATTTTCGTTTTATTGTCAATGTGACTGGGTCTTTTGAGTGAAATATCTCTAAACTTAGAGTAGTAGCACTGCCAATACTGCCATTCAGTTTTTAAAAACTAGGGTCTTCCCTTCGGTGTCATTCTCAAAATGCACAATGGTTCGAGGTGATTTCTAAGTCGTCTGAAGTCAAAGTTTGTATAACATTTTCTGAAAAGTTTGACAATGATCGGTAGATTTATTGCTGGGCGACGTTTCGCTCTTGACACGAAAGCTTCGTCAGGCCAAGTTACGATGTTGGCCAAGATTGGAGACGGAAGGAGAACCAATCAGCTGAGTCTGGCTTACTCTGTGTCAGGTGTCGGCCAAGGGGTTTTGTGTTATGGGTGATCCACCAGTTGTTGAGCCAATGGAGAATTCCACATGGATTTGGGTCCAACTTAGGAACAAGTTCTTCCGTCTCGATTCACATGCTGATCCTTCTTGAACGTCGTTTGCGCTTTTCGCTTGTCTGTGTGGATGAGTGAGTGCTATGAGAGTTGTGTAAGTAATTCTGTAAACTTTCGTCGGGTTAGGGTTTCCACCCCCGTAGTTTCTGCTGCTGATTCCAATGGCACTGCCAAACACACAGTCAGGTGTTTTTGGGTGCATAGAGATTTGTATCTTTCTTTTGTTTCCGTTATGGCACTGCTTATTTTGCCAATTGCATAAACGTTTTTGTTTGAATACGAGAAGCTACAAATCATGAATTTGTACAATTATACTCAATATTAACGTGGTTCTGTGCTCTGGCTTTCTTTTGATTTCGCCCGCGTTACAACATTCATTCTCGAGCTTCATATACTAACTATGGCATCAAATCATTTCAGACTATTTCAGACGATCTGATCTTGCTCAATATTCCCCCCAAAAAACGAACAGCAACTGTGCTTCCCTGCCCGTGCCGGTTTGGTGGACATCACGCCTACATTTGATGGTGCCCACTACTACGACGCTGTCCATTTTCCTAACCCCATGTACCCACAATCCCCACCAGTCGTGATTTTATTCTTACTAACAATATGATCGTGCCACACAAAAGTTGGGAATGAACATTACTATTATTAACCGTTTAGAAGGAGACACCTGGACAACCAAGATGATATTATTACTTTCTCACTGACTTGGAGCAACGCGGAACTATTTTAAAGAGAATAATTCTTAGTGAGTCTGCTCCATCTGACCTCTTTATTATCGCATACACGAATCTAGCGTTATTTCCCATTTCTTATTTAAACTCTCCCGGTAAATTAGCTTTTGGGTAGCCGGACCACTACGGGCAGAATTCCACACGGATCCCGCTTTTCCGCTCGAAGTTAGGATAAAAGCTTACCCCGCGCAAGACTGGCCAGAAATTTTGATCGCCCGCCGGTCCGGCATCAAGCCGAGATCTGATTGGTCCAAAGCTTTGACCCAAAAGCAGAGCACAACCCAGTATTGGCCGGATGCCGTTTGGCAATAGCGCATCCTGAAGGCGCCAGAATTTCCATAAGGTTTTTGCAGCTCACCATGTATATATATTACGTGCCGTAAAAGCGTTCTTGTCTTTATTTTGGGCTTTGATATAGCTCTGCTTCTCTGATCCTTGCTTTGACATTAAGGCTGGTTGAGAGGCCCACACTAGGAACTGAGCTGGCGAAAATACCGTCACTACAGGTCTCATCTGGTGTTATCTACAACCGATTTCCACAAGCTCCTATGTTCCACACCCTCGATTCCGTGAGCACTGTGGTGCTCGGTAATTTTCACCACCTCTGGTCTCGCGTCAATCGCAGTCCCTATCTTTGAACCTTACAATTCTCCAGACCTTTTTTATGTCCGTCATCTCTTGGTCTTCGACCAGCGTTTGAAGTTCCAACGTATTTCTTGATGGTTTGCTCCCCCGCCTTTTATGTTCACAAATCCTGGTGTACAATTCCCTCGCAGTTTATCTTGTGTGGCGCTTAATGCAGACGCTTTAGCTAGTTCTCTAGTCCTTTCGACTGAGAGAGATGTTTCAAATCCTTGCTTTGACATTAAGGCTGGTTGAGAGGCCCACACTAGGAACTGAGCTGGCGAAAATACCGTCACTACAGGTCTCATCTGGTGTTATCTACAACCGATTTCCACAAGCTCCTATGTTCCACACCCTCGATTCCGTGAGCACTGTGGTGCTCGGTAATTTTCACCACCTCTGGTCTCGCGTCAATCGCAGTCCCTATCTTTGAACCTTACAATTCTCCAGACCTTTTTTATGTCCGTCATCTCTTGGTCTTCGACCAGCGTTTGAAGTTCCAACGTATTTCTTGATGGTTTGCTCCCCCGCCTTTTATGTTCACAAATCCTGGTGTACAATTCCCTCGCAGTTTATCTTGTGTGGCGCTTAATGCAGACGCTTTAGCTAGTTCTCTAGTCCTTTCGACTGAGAGAGGATGTTTCAACTGCACCAAAACTGAGCGTAGCCTTTTCCCCTTCTAGAGAGCTACGCAAATCTTAGCTATTTCGGCACTCCCCCAATAACTTCCGATGTTTAAGCTTTATATGCAATCACTGATGTGCCCATCGATTCCTTACTGGGTCAGAGCTAATTAGAGCCTATATTATGCTTAATTGTCACCTAATCAGACTCACTGTGTATCCTATTTATCGAAGTTTGTTGGCAATCTTGATCTGCGCGACTGTTAATTTGACCTCTTCTGTGCACAGCGCTCTTAGTCGACTAAATATCACTAATGCGGTACTAGCGTACACGAACTTTGGGTGTGCTGACGTGTAGTTCAAGACAGTTTTATTGCATGC